GCTGCACAGCGGGCTATCTGAGCGACGTCTACAGCAGAAACCAAGCCCTAAATTGTAGAGTTTGAACCTTTGAAACTTGCTCTTTAACCATTTGTGGTGAAATTAATGCTTTATACTTTATACATTTGAAAATAGAACATATCTACAATTTATTATCAACAACAAACTGTATTTCAGTGAGAAATGTTGGGATGATGAATGTGTGCTCTCTGGTGTCAAGCTAGTTGTTAAGAGGAAGAGATAACCAACGTGCAGTGACGTCCGTTCACGTAGACGTCACAAGAAATACTTTTCACTCCGGATCGACATTTCCAATGGAAATGATAGAGATCGGAATAATAATCAAAACATCTTCATCAGTTCCTAGTGTGATGGATTGAATAGGCTTACATTTCTATCACTTCCGAGCGAGATGACCTAACTAAGCTTACATTTCTATCACTTCCGAGCGAGATGACCTAACTAGGCTTACATTTCTATCATTTTCCTACCGTGACGACCTGAACAAGTTCACTTTTGTACCATTTTCTAGTATGATAATCTGAATATGCTTCAATTTATATTATTTTCCTGGCGTGACAGCCTGAATAGATTTACATTTCTATCATTTTCTAGTGTGAGGACCTGAACACACTTAAATTACTATCATTTTCTAGAGTGACAACCTAAATAGGTTAACATTTTTTAGCATGTCTACCTGAATAGCCTTACATTTTTATCATTTCCTAACGTGATTACCTGAACAGGTTCACATTTATCTCATTTTCTAGTGTGATGTCCTGAATACACTAACATTTCTATGATTTTCTAGCGTGAGGGTCTGAATAAACTTACATTTAAACCTTTTTTGTAGCGTGATGATCTAAATAGGCTTATATTTCTATCATTTCCTAGCGAGATGACCTGAGCAGGTTCACATTTTTATCATTTTCTAGCGTGAAGACGTAAATAGACTTACATTTCTATCATTTTATAGTGTGATGATCTGAATTGGTTTACATTTCTATCATTTTCTAGCGTTACGGCCTGAATAAACTTACATTTAAACCTTTTTGTAGCGTGATGATCTAAATAGGTTTTATATTTCTATCATTTCCCAGCGTGATGGCCTGAATAGACTTACATTTCTATCATTTTCTAGCGTTACGGCCTGAATAAACTTACATTTAAACCTTTTTGTAGCGTGATGATCTGAATAGGTTTTATATTTCTATCATTTCCTAGCGTGATGACCTGAATAAACTTACATTTAAACCTTTTTGTAGCGTGATGATCTAAATAGGTTTTATATTTCTATCATTTCCTAGCGTGATTACGTGATTAGGTTCACATTTATTTCATTTCCAGAGTGATAACCTGAATATACTTACATTTCTATCATTTCCTAGCGTGACGAACCGAATACACTTCCATTTCTACCATTTTGTAGGATGATAACCTGAATAGACTTACATTTCTAACATTTCCTAGCGCGATGACCAAAATAGGCTTACATTTCTATCATTTTCTATTATAACGACCTTAATAGGTTCACATTTCTCTTATTTTCTAGAGTGATGAGCTGAATACACTTACATTTCTATCATTTTGTATCTTGACGGCCTGAATCAGACTTACATTTTTATCGTTATCTAGAGTAGCAACCTGAATAGGTTTGCTTTCTAACATTTCCTAGCGTTACGAACTGAACAAGTTCACATTTCTCGTTCTTTCTAGTATAATGACCTGAATAGCCTTACATTTCTATCATTTCATTGCGTGATGACCAAAATAGGTCTAAATTTCTATCATTTTCCATTATGACGGCCTGAATAGACTTACACTTCTGTCATTTACTAGCGTGACGACCTGAACGGGTTCACATTTCTCTTATTTTCTAGCGTGATGCCCTGAATACACTTACATTTCTATCATTTTCTAGTGTGATGACCTGAATAGGCTTACATTTCAATAATTTTCTAGCGTGATGACTTGAATAACTTACAGTTCTACAATTTCCTAGTGTGTTGTATTGAATAGGCTTACATTTCTATCATTTTCTATCGTGATGACCTGAATAGATTTATATTTCTATCACTTTTTACCGTGATGACCAGAATAGGCTTATATTTTTTAACATTTTGTAGAGTGATGACCTGAAAAGAATTATATTTTTATCATTTTCTTGCGTGATGATCCGATCAGACTAACATTTCTATCATTTCCTAGCGGGATGACCTGAATAGGTTTACACTTCTGAGCTTCATATCATTTTACCACATATTAATAAGGTCAAATTTAATGTTACTTAATGGAATGCGCTGTTATCAATAGTTTAGTAACAGCATTGTGGACAGAAACAAACATACGTGTGTTTAATTTAAGTTTTAATTCTACAGAATTGTTTTAACAGGGGCATAAGACATGACATGTAACATTAGTTAATATTCTTTGAAAATGACTTCACGAACGCTGGGTCTTATTTTTAAGTGATAGTTTAATGCTAGCAGCACTGTTTCTATGTTACTTGTGTACGGAAGTAAGCTATACTAATATAACGGTAAGATGATCAACAATGATTTTCAAGCATAATGGAAAATTTTTGTTATGTTGAGAACATACTCATGTTTTGAGAGAAATACTGATCTGTCTGCTCAAGTTCTATTGAAGTGTTATTATTGGGGTTTATTATGTTCTCTAGACACACAAAAAGCATTATATTTATAAAACGTTTCTGGTTAATCTATTATAATAATGCTCAGTTTTAGTATGCTACAAAATGCTCATACGCGCGCACTTCATTTCAACGGATTAAACAAAACGCGCTGTAATTATACTTTCGTAGACATTTTGTAAAACAACACATTAAAAGCTTATCAAAGTTTTTTAAAAGGTCTAACTATAGGTCGTAGAATAACATTATAAGTATCTTTACTGATAGTATTAAGTAGGATAAAGTTTAGCCCTAACTAAATTAAAGCAAGAAACGTACAGTAGTTACAGTCTCAATTTATTTCGTTCTTGAATATGTTTAACCAATCAGTTAGGCCTAAGACAAGTGGACTTGTGAATTTCGGTGTCTGCAATTAGAATTCTTTTGGTATTATTCTAGAAATCCTGTATTTAAAGAAGAACTATTGCAATAAAGAAACTAATACGACCACAAATGTACGCGTCTCTATTATTTACTATTATTTGTGCGTTACTTATTATTTAGTGTTAAAATGTTGAGAGACCTCGCTTAATAAAATGCAAAACCTTCTGAATTTCTTCTACGTTTTTAACGCACATACATTCTACTATTCATGATCAATTACTTGTAGATAGCATTCAGTAGATTATAATTTTGGCCTGAATGTTGCTACTCTTACTGTAGAGAGTGAAAAACAGAACTAAAAAAATCAATTTGTTTGTAGTTCAGCACAAAGCGCTATCTATGCTCTGCCCACCACGGGTATCAAACCTGGTTTCTAGCGTTATAAGTCCGCAGACATACAGTTGTGCCACTGGGCGTAAAAGAAAATTAATTGCATACTTTTATCTCCCTAAGGTTTCCCTCTTATGTCTACCGTTTCATAATAAAAATGATGAACTGATATTCAATACTTCCTGAAAGTATTTAATAGAGTTTGCAGTTTCGCCTTATCATTAAAACTAACATTTTAAACTAAGAAGTTGAGCATTTCGTATAAAGGGTGACAAAAATATTCAATTTTTTAAAGATGAAAGCGGTTAATTTGCCAAATTAAAAATCGCCTTATCCATAATCAACATATACGGTAAACAGAAAAATGTGTGAAAAAAGTCAATAGTTTATTTCTGTTAACATTGTTAGATAAAATTATATTACAGGCAGTGGCGCGGAATATGCACATTTTTATTTTTCGATTGTTTGACCTTGTGGGAAAACTGAATACTTTGAAGTTTGAGACTCATTTTTCCTGGAGTATCTTTCAGCTGTTACAGATTAATTAAGATGTATCTTACTTCAAAACTGTAACGATTATTAGGTATTTGTAACAAAATGAAGTTATCAAATATTTAATAGTGTTGCGTCAGCGAGTCACATGACTGGTGTGGCGCCACCTATTTTCTAGAACTATCCTGTACCTTGGCGAATGCTCTAGTATTTACTACACATAGGGTAGTCTGGTATATAAAAGAGGGTGACAACGTGACGGGAGAATAATGTGTGTGTAGATAGTGAGTAATTGAACTGCAGTCAGAAGTATTGTTGACGTTCGTTCATATAGCGTTTGTTATAGAGCGATTATTGAAAATAAGTGTATCGTGAAGTTGTATTCGGAAAGAATAAACCAGTTTTATTAAGTAAGGACTTGTGTCGCTAAAGTTTCGTCGGAACGAAGTTACGGAAAGTTAATTAACAAACGGAGACGTAACAATAGAATAACATATATGTTTTAAAATTACATGATATAATGTGAGGAGGTTACTTTTCCATAATTATTTCACAAAGAATCAATAATCAGTTAAAATAGTGGGTTCATGATTTGGTCCGGATAAACAAAATTAATTTGTACTGTTGAAAAAAAGGATGGAAATTTATTTCTTTGTTGTTTTTTTTTTAACGAAGCCCGAAATCGCTGTCTTACAGGGGGACATGGAAATATTTTGTATTTGAATTGCATGGAAAATTAAAACAGAATCATAATTACCATTTCCGTTTATAAATTTTAATCGTGGCCGCAATTTATTTTTATTGGATTCAAATACAAAATTTAATACATATTTTTTTTTCTATTTCTAATGTTATTTCACTTTAACTGTGATATTTGTTTTAAACAATATCTTACAACTCACTTGTAATAATAAATTATTGTTCGATGCAGAATTTTTTACCTCTGTTATTTTCCACTTCTTGCACTCTATATTCATACACTGTCGTATTACGTAAATATAAACTTATCATTTAGCCGAAATAGTTCTGTTCAAACGCTATAAAAGCTTATTTTCTGGCAGGCTAATGTGACCTAACAAATAGATAAAATGACTTTTAATAGGTAAAATATCGATGTCTAAAAACGTTTTTCTACTGCCTTGTCCAACCTTACTGTCATGTAAGCTCTTGATATGTAGGTTTCCATACCAACAGCTATTTATGTAAATCTTAATTCATCTTTGAGCTTCATTGTTTAGTGACAATGTTTTCCTTTACACAAAGGGACCATTCATTCGAAGATCTTGCAATAGTGTTAAACGAATCGTATTATATTGGTTCTCCATACTACCAGTTATGTGATGTTTCCTACAATCCATGTAACTGAAGTTACAATTAACACAAATATATTCATAAATTATTCGTGATGTCTATGACTTCGATATCTCAGTGTGAAAAGGCTTTTAAGACTAAGTTGAAATTTAAGAATGGTTCGTAATTTTGCGAACGGATAATAAATATTCCCATATATTTTTAGTCTGGAAGCTATACTGTTCTAATATGGAAATACAACTCTAATTATTAGTATCGGCGTAGTACTTTTTTTCATTTGGGAACGTGTGTTAATTTCATTCAAATATTATGACATTTAACTGCGTATGCTACTTCTTTTAGGTATATACTGTTTTTCATCTTTGAATTGACAACGGGAAATATACAGAGGCTGAATATGTTATGTGAAAATCATTTTGAATCCTCACCTCATCGTTACGGTCTATGTCGTCACATCCGGTCATGCTCTGTCTGACGGCCGTGCATCTTGACAGTAGACATGCAGCGTAGTTTACATTGTAAAAAGTTCGTCGTAAAGCTACCATGTCTAAAGTTCACTCTTTTCCCTGCATGATTTCTACAAGCCATCCAGTGTATGAGGAAGCGGTTTTACAGCTCCTGTTTCAACAGTCTGATCGAAATCTGGCGATTTCACCAATATATCTTCGGATGAAATAGCATGAATACCGGTGTCATTCTCTAGCTACTTGAGATATGCAATAGTTGAACAAATATGTTGTGAAAGCAGCTTGTGTCACTTTTTCAAACGGAGATTTTGTTGTATATTATTTCCTGGAACAATTAGAAGGACTTTACCAACGGTTACAAGACGTAACACTTTGCTTATCACTGTTGGGTTCAACTTCTTCCACTCGAGGGATATCTGCGCTAGCCGTACTTAATTTAGTAATGATAGACTAGAGGGAAGGCAAGCTATTCAACATCACCCACCGCCAACTATGGTGTTACTGTTTTACCAACAAATAGTAGGATTGGCCGTCATATTATAAAGCTCCAACGGCTGAAAGGGCGAGCGTGATCGGTGGCGGGATTCGAACTCGCTACCCTCAGATTGCGAATCGAACGCTCTAACTACCAGGCCATTCCAGCCCTTCTGAAGATGTATGTGTGTGTTATGTGTATAGTGCAGTCGTACACATGATTTCTTCTTTGTTTGTGTGCCGAGCATGTTCTAGTGGGCATTGCACAGTGCTACGGATCAGAAGGTCAATAGTTCGATCCGCGATATGCTACTGAACACGATCCGCACTTTCAGCTTTGCAACAGTCAATTATGCTATTCATTTAAGAGTTGACTCTGCTATCGAAAGTAACTCTACAAGCAAAAATATTTCCAGTTTAAAAAAATAAGATTAAATTTCAGATTTTCTTTTGAGGATTTCACACGTTAAAACTTGTATTGTTTTGTTTGTTTGTTTTTTAATTATGCACAAAGCTACACAAGGGCTATCTGTGCTCTGCCCACCACGGGTATCGAAACCCGGTTTCTAGCGTTGTAAGTCCGCAGACATACCGCTGTGCCACTGGGGGGCTAAAACTTGTATCTTGCAAACTCATTCCTACTACAAAATAAAACTGGTCATGGTAACAGTTGGTGGTACCATGCCTTTTCTTGTAAGAGCAGAATGTCATTAGCAAAACTGTGCAAAAGCTTTTAATTACTCATTGCAGTCAAATACACCAAGGGATTTTGCAAAAGGTAATTAAATCATTATTAAGAATACATTAAAAACTTTGGAACCAACAACCATTATTTCAGTTAATTAAAACGACGTCTGTGCACTAACCGATGTTGTTACAATATATCATAGCTATTCGTTCCTGCATATTAACCACTTTTTTGAAATTTATAGGCATTTAAGAACACGTTATTAATTATATCCTAACAGCATAATTCGATTCAGGCGTTTAAAAGTTCTTTAAAAGTTTTCAAACATAACAAATCATTTCCAGTTGATGGCTCTGAAAGTGTTTCTCTTAATTTCCGAGTAGTTAAGATCTCCACATTCTTGAACTTTTATTATTATTATTATTCCGTGAGTTGTTTCGCAAATACTTAACTACTTGGAGGCTTTTTTGGAAATGGATTTTGTTACGTCATGAAGAGCTAATATCTTTGCCTCAACTTGGCATCTATTTCGAAAGCATTCACGAAATATATTATAGATTTTACTAACAGGAAAAAACACATCGTCTTCACTTTATACAATAATTATTTTACTTATGAGTGAAATAATACAAAAATAGGTTTCCCTAGCAGGAAAAAACACGTTTGTCTTCTTTCTTCGACCTTATGAGTGAAATTATAAAAGAATAGGTTTCACTAGTTGGAAAAAAAACACATTTGTTTTCACTTTCTAACATAATTCTTAGACCTTATGAGTGAAATTATAAAATAATATGTTTCACTAGTTGGAAAAAAAACCCGTTCACTTTATAATATAATTCTTAGATCTTATGAGTGAAATTATTAAAGAATAGGTTTCACTAGTTGGAAAAAACACATTTGTTTTCACTTTCTAACATAATTCTTAGATCTTATGAGTGAAATTATAAAATAATATGTTACACTAGCATAAATAAACACGTTTATCTTTACTTTATAACAGAATTCTTAGACCTTATAAGTGAAATTATAAAAGAATAGGTTTCACTAGTTGGAAAAAAACCCGTTCACTTTATAATATAATTCTTAGATCTTATGAGTGAAATTATAAAATAATATGTTACACTAGCATAAACAAACACGTTTATCTTTACTTTATAACATAATTCTTAGACCTTATGAGTGAAATTATAAAATAATGTACAACCTCATTATATCGCTTACATCCAGTGCCGACGAGGCAGGCCTCTTGCTCAAAACCATGACTCGTCAGGCCAGATTGATTACGACTGCCATAAAGTAGTAGTTGAAACGCTATTTTTATTATTAAACTGCACAAACAACAACTCTTATGGTTAGAACTGGATTGAGTTGGTGAAATATATATATATATTTAAATGATATAAGAATGAGGGTAAGGATGAGTAACATAATATTATTCATTTGTTTTTTAACACCCGGTCTGCGTGTCAGGGAGATATTTTGGTGGATTGTTTCTTAAACAAAGTTTTCTGGTACCATATTTTTAAATTCTAAATAGAGAATTGAACTACTTGCAATAACTGAAATCTGAACTGCCCAGAAGAGTGGCCGAATTCACACTATTTTCAAAATCCATACCAACATCCAAAATTTTACACAAAATACTGTAGTAGCCACACATGTTGCGCATTACAAGTTTTGGTTTCTCAGCTCTATAAAGCTGTTTTCTCCGCGGTTTTTACGAGTTCTTACGATGAAGATTGTCGAGGAAAGCTCAATGAAACTTACTCGCTCCTGTGAAGTGGCTGAATACGGTTCCTGCCTGAAGTGTACTCCAACATGAGCACTTCTACCATTTTGTACAAGAGGAACACAGTGCAGCCTACCCCCTAAACTTCGCATCTTTGTGGTAAAATGCTAATAAGATATTTTTTGACAGTAAAGTAGAGTGTAGTTTTTTGAAGTTAACACAGTCTCCCACCCCTCGAATTTGGTCTAGCCTACCCCCTAAACTTCGCATCTTTGTGGTAAAATGCTAATAAGATATTTTTTGACAGTAAAGTAGAGTGTAGTTTTTTGAAGTTAACACAGTCTCCCACTCCTCGAATTTGGTCTCATCATCTTGCAAACTGGGTGTTAACACAAACTATTTATTATTATATCTTTTACTTAGAACAACTTGATTCATCATTCAGAAAGTAGTCTCATTGTTCGTGGTGTTCGTCAAGCAGTCACAATGTCAACAAGAGAACTACATTAGTAATTCTATTGTACAAGACCGTTAACTTCATGGCTCACTCACCACCAGTTGTTGTTTAGTGACACAGTTAATCAGGTGCTTCCTCATTAGTAGTATTCTTGGGTTAGACTTAAGTGTGTCTTGTTGCACTGTAGCAACATCTCTAAGCTATCAACTGTGTAAGTTCAACTTCAATGACAACGGAAGGGATATATTATCTACCAGATATAGCTTCTATTCGCCAGCCTTACAGAGAAAGGGATACACCAACTATCAGATATAGCTTCTTTCCAGTCTTACAACAGTAGGGATATACCATCTACCAGATATAGCTTCTATTCGCCAGCCTTACAGAGAAAGGGATATACCAACTATCAGATATAGCTTCTATTCGTCAGTCTTACAACGGTAAGGATATACCAACTATCAGATATAACTTATACTCGCCAGTCTTACAACGGTAGAGATATACTAACTAACAGATATAGCTTCTATTCGCCAGTTTTACAACGGTAGGGATATACTAACTAACAGATATTGCTTCTATATGTAGATTCCTCAAGAACCAACGTACACTTCATAATTTCCTACGTTATAAACTGTACTTTTACGTTATTTGTTTTTTAGAAGTTTTTTCTTGGATTGGTGCTAATTATATGTACTAATCATCATAGGTGTGCAAGTGTTTTTTAACACTTTCGTTCCTTTTCAGATAAACTTTATTGAAATGTTTTGATTTTGCTCGAACTTATACTGGTATGTAAATTTGTCCACAGATTTTATCAAGTTATTCAACTTTACGTGATCAGATTTTATCGCATTTATCCAAAAAGTTCAACAAGCCACGTGTAACGTGTAGATGAACTTTCAAAGGTTGACTAGAATAACTACAAACAATACGTGAGACAATGCTATTTTAGTTTGAAATAAAGTAAGTACCGTGGTATCAAAGTGT